AGATAGATAGATAGATAGATAGATAGATAGGTAGGTAGATAGATAGATAGATAGAGAGAGAGAGAGAGAGAGAGACAGAGAGATAGATAGATAGATAGATAGATAGGTAGATAGACAGATAAATAGATAGACACATAAATAGACAGAGGGACGGATGGATAGATGGATAAATGATCGAAGGAAAGTGAGATGGATGTGCAAGTTTCTATTCACATCTGGAAAGCATTCGTTGCTCATCTACTAAATGTCCAGACTCTTTCGCGCGTTGCAACCAGCAAGAAATCAAGAGAGCTGCTACGTTGTTGTATATACGAGACATGAAAGAGTTCCTGTCATCTCGTCTTAGCCTCATAACCAAAACGAAACACGTCTACATCTCTGAAAGCTTGGGGCAGAAGAATTCCGATACATTGTGAACACAACTTATCTGAAATAAGACATTAAGCCTGAATAAGTTTAAAAATTATGTATCTGATACTGATACGACAAAAAATTGCACAGCACTTCTGTCGTTTGATATGTCATGAGGAAGCCTTCGTACCTTTAGGTCATCATGTAGCAAAAGGGGCTCTTCGGCACTCCCGTCTCGAAACACAAACGACGACTTTCGCTCGGGAGAGAAATGCAACGGATACGTTGCGGAACATGCACCAACGTCTTCCTCACATACTCGAACATGGATTGACAAAAAACCGAAAAGCCACACCTGTTTCACTAGAGCGTTGCAGGAATAGACAAACCAAACAACAAGTAAGCTATGGCGAACAACACTGTTGCACTGCTTTATCACTATACTTGTATGTTTCCATCCTGGTTGGCTATAATGCCCCCACCAGGGCTCAAATTTCTGCAAAATCTGCGATTCCTGAAATGCGAAAACATTGGCAGGGCTCAAACTTCGCCCAAAATTTCACCAATTGTAGCATGTATGGAGAGCGCGGCGCCGCCCAGATTTAGGGAATGTTCATCCCTGCCGATGTTTTCGCACTGCAGGCTTCAACAAGATGTGTACATATCTGTATGTACATCTATGTATCTATCTATCTATCTATCTATCTGTCTATCTATATGTATTCGTTTATCTATTTACATATACATCTGCTGCTGCATGTTTCTAGATCAAAGAAGCCTGCTACGCCATGGTTTAGAAATTGGTTATTTGTACATGCTCACCGTCACGCGGAGAGAGAGTGTAGGGAGAGCTCTGGAAAGCTTATTTGTTGTCACACTCAAGGCTTTGTGAGCGTTTCTAGGTTCCACCGAATCCAATTCCGCCCTGAAGACACCTCAACAACTCCAAACAACCGAGACAAGTCCTTTATGCTTGCCGGGAGAATGAGAAGATTACCTCTGATTGTGCAGTAAGCGCTCTCTTCTTACAGGGCACCAGAGCAGGAGGTGAGCGGGAACGTGCTCGCGGAGGTGTTGAAGGCTGAGCAGACCAGAGCAGTCGTCGCTCCTCACGTGCAACACGCAGACCCAAGTTCACCTGCTGCAAAGCATCTGCAGGAAGAGGCGGCCAGGACAGCAGCGAACCAAAACTCTTGTCCACCATGATTTGGTGTTTGAACGCCAAGGGCATGACACGCGGACATGCTTGGAGGCAGTTCATCTGGTGCCGCACACTGCGACTGAGCAAAGAAGCGCAATCCATGAAGGCCGCCCATGCCACACCACCGGCGCGGAAGTCAGAAAATATACAAATAATCACGACCTCCACCGCGGCATCGAGTGGCCGACAAAACACCTCCATGTGGTCCTCAAGCTCCGCAAAAGGCAGGCTGTCTAGGCTTGCGAGACGGCGGTCGCGCAAGGGAATACCGGCAGCTCGCGGAAGCAGGTATATCGACAAATTGAGCGCCAGCCACTGGAGCATGGCGAGCTTGCTGCTACACTTGTTGAGTCTTCCGTGTTACCATTTTGAGGCTCAACGCAGAGCCAGAAGGCTCTCATGCCGCGCACCTGACATTCGAAAAGTTAGGGGATTCGTGGTTTAGGGTGATGTCCGACCTGAACGAAACTGCCCCCCTCCCCCCCCCCACACGCCCCCAACCCCCCGAACCCAGCAGAGTCCGAAAACACCACGGCGTAATACACACCGTGGGCCAACTACAGGTGGGGAGTTGAGGGTATATAGGGCTTCTATAAGGCTTCCAAAAGGTATATAGACCTTCTATAAGGCTCCTATAACGGTAGCTACCCACCTGAACATGTCCTAGACAAAGGGGGGCTATAGTATAGAATCACTCTATCGAAGGAACCCTTAAGGGATTGTGTAAAGGTTTCGGCTTCCTTGAAGGGTCCATTTAAGGTGCTGAGTTCTGTTTAGGGTTGCGTTAGGTTCTGTAACGGAGGTTTCTGGGGTTTTAAAGGAAACCCCAAACCCTAAACCTAGGGATCTTTAGGCAGCTTTAATAACTACCTATACTATTTTGGGAGTTCCTTACTATAGTTATGGTATAATATTCAGAAATTTTCGGGGGGGTTATTAAGGAGGGTATAGGTGAGTTTGAGGATTTCGGGGGATGGTTCAGGTTGCATGTCGTGCATCTTGGAGCAACAGTTAGGGTTTAGGGCATAGGTTTCGGGGGTTTAGGGTTTTGAGTTTAGGACTTAGGGTTCAGGGGTTTAAGGTTTAGGGTTGAGGGTTTAGTCTGCTCCCGATGCATGAACTCACCTCGCAGTTGCTTTCAAGTGTAGGCTCCCCAGCTGTCCCTAAAGCACAAGGGCATAAGATACATTTCCTACTATTCGGAGTTTATACGGAGACACAAAAACAAAACCCTAAACCCTAAACCCTAAACCCTAAACCCTAAACCCTAATCCCTAAACCCTAAACCCTAATCCCTAAACCCTAAACCCTAAAAGGGTACTACTGGGAGACCTAGAAGTCTAATGATCGGTGAAAGGCCAGGGTTCAAGGTCGAGGACAACTGCAAGCACTGCCCCTAAATGCCCAACCCGATGCAGGGTTAAGGGTCGGTTTAGGGTTTAGGATTTAGGGTTTAAGGTTTAGGGTTTCTGCGGAACGCGGAAGACGGCATTGTGCTTCTTGCTGCGACGTGGATTGCTGTTGTATTCCACGTTGCCGTGGCCTGTTTTGTTTTTGCTCTTGCTGCACGCGGCATTCTGCCGACATCATGCGCATCCCACAAGGCCACTGCGTGATTTCAATGTGCACCCCGAGCAAGAGAGAACGATCTTCAGGCGAATGTCGAATCTCTAAGGGCTTTAGGAGGGACCCTTTATAGGGACCCTTGTAGGTTATTGGGGTTAATATGGAGACTACCTGGCTATATAAGGGGTGTATAAGGACTATACAATGGTTATTTAAGGTAATGGGATCAAGGGTCTCTATTAGGGGTCCCTCCTAAAGTCCTTAGATCGAAACCAAACCCCAAACCCTAAACCCTAAACCCTAAACCCTAAGAAGTTGCAACTCAGGGCCTCAAACCCAAAACCACGATCCGCCCGGAATGGTTCCTAAACCTGAAACCTAGACCCAAAACACAAAACCCTAAACCCCAAAACTTCCTAAACCCTAAACCCTAAACCCAAAACCTTAAACCCGAAACCTAAATCCTAAACCCTACTGTCTCCGAGGGCCGAAACTTGCAGAAACGGTTTAGCTAAAGGAAACTACAGGTGGAAAGTTTAGGGTATATAGGGCTTCTATAAGGCTTCTATAAGGTATATAGACTTCTATAGGGCTCCTATAACGGTACCTACCCACCTGAAAATGTCCTAGGTTTAGATGAGGGGGATTTCGGATCTCCGAGCATGCTGCCTTCCGCTTCTGCTCCCAGGATCGCCTGGCATTTAGATTACTTATGACAAAGTTGAATATTATTAATACAGGTACATTTATATATACACACATCAATCTATACTTTTTGTGATTATGTTTATGATTATAAGCTAACCACTAAACATCATAAAACTGGACATGACTACATCATGCATGTGGTGGTGTTCCAATCCCAACCCCCCCGGACCCGGACGGATCTAAAATCGAAGCCCTGCAGCGAGGCCTCTCTTGACCCCAAAAAATGCTAGGATACTTTTTGCGGTTTTCAGATCATTCCAAGGGGTCTGGGTTGACATGCAGACGTGGTATCGTGGTGTAGCATGAGGGGTTAATATAGGGGCCTGAAGAATCACAACAGGGCTTTGGCGTATGGTATACTATACTTATAACAACCTTCAACTGTAGGATCCTCGGTGGACGGACCCCCGCCCCTCTAACTCTAACACGAAGAATCGGTTTAGGGTTTGGGGGCGCAGCTTTACGAAAACACTACTTGTCTGTGGTGAAAGGAGGCAACGGTGACAAAGTGAAGCTTTTGGGCGTGGCAGGGCATCTGCTTCCTAGGCTCTCGGCTGGAGTGTTCTTTGTACATGTGATGCGCGATCGCGGTTTAGGGCTACGGGTTATCCTGCAATCTTTAAACCTTTTCAGCCCAAGCCTAATATCCGCCTCGCACCTGAAAAGATGTCTGCAGTATCTGTCACCGGAAGCCTCTCGTCGGTGTCGTGTTGGTCGTAATCTTAACAATACTGTTGCTGATATTAATGCGGATGGTGGTAGTGCGACCAGAAACGTCTGAACTAGCGTCGAAAAGCAATGATCGCGCCAGCAAGTCTTGTGACGGCACTATGACTGAAGCACCAGCTACTAGCGCGGATGTCAACCCTAGCAGGAAACAGAGCATGGCTGAAGGTCTCTACCTGACAAAAACCTCAGAGTACCCTTATCAAACCCCCCAGAATCCTTACTTTACTAAGTCCCCTGATCCTCCAAAACTACCCTTATCGAGCCCTTATACTGGGCTTTGAAGTAAGCAGGGAGAAAAAAGCATAGACTTTTTTTTTTTAATGGTTCCTTTAAGGAACAGGTCCAAAAAAAGTATTAAAGTATGGTACTCCAAAGCCCAGTTAAGTTACTCAGTCTGCATGATCCTCCAAGTATACTCTGCCAGGCCGGCCAATTCTCCAAGCCCTGCAGGCAGTGATACGGCTTATCACCTGGAAACACGAGGGGAAGGGGTTTAGGGGTGTAAGGATTAGGGGTTGCGGGGTTTAGACAGGAGTAACACAAAGGCTGGAAGGGACACGGGCGGACTGTTCTTTATGGCGATCAAGCTAGCGATTTTTGCCAACACTGCTGTTTGTTCTCAACGCTGCGAGTCGATGACGAGTGCTTCGTCTACAAAAGTGAACCCATCCATATGTATCGGGCTCCTACGGATCTGGATGCCGTAGCGGCGCACACCTGCAGACACACCAATCTGCGCTCCATCAGCTTCTACTACACCCTAAACCCCACAATCCTAAACCCTAGACGCGAGCTTCTGCCCAGTGCTAGGCTGTGCTGCCTTTTGTCGTCGATCTGTCTGTCTTCGGAAGCCACGCAAAGCCCAAAGTCACTTCTAGAGGAGACAAAACCGAAGGGTATGAAAGGGATCTCGAATACAACCCGGTTACAATAGGGATGATATAATTTACATCATATACCCCAAATAGTAGGACCCTTGTTATAAGGACCCCCAAATAAGGTACCCCTGATTTTCGGAAACTCCTCCCTAACCCCAAACGCTAAACCCTCAACCCTGAACCCTAAACCCTAAACGACAGGGAGTATATAATGTACATGGGTAGTTGTCTAAATTAGGGTCCCTTTTTAGGTCCCCAATATAGTACGGCACCCATATAAAAAGATCCTAAAAGGAACCCTAATTTAGAGAACTACCCACATCATTTGTATCTAGGTCGGGAGCCTCACTCCTTCGATGCTGCGTACAAGTACTGCATTCCGACGAATGCAGCGTAGGTTAGCTGCTACGATATACAGTAAGACGGTTTAGGGTTTAGGGGTTTAGGGTTTAGGGTTGCTATAAGGGTTCATATTCTACTTGAATCAGACGAATATAGGGGAATTAATACTTAGATTGGGGTTGTGGGGAATGTTATCATACTCCATGATACTATGGTTATAATACTAAGGACCCCCCCAAAAAAAAAGAAAACACAAGCATAGGTAATCATCAAGGCCCCTATATTACATGTACCCAGACCTCTGGAAGGATCCAGCCTGCAGATCCCTTAAGGGGGCGTTCCTATCAAGTACCCTTTAGGGTTTAGGGTTTAGGGCCCTTTAGTAGTACAGAGTCCCAAACTAGGGATCTAGGGATTCTAGGGATCTACTTTTTAGATTTACATAGAGTCTGGGTTTTGGATTCCCAAGTCATGGGCCGCCCAGAATACACAAATGATTGAAGGGTTTCGGGTTTCGTGTATATTGAGGGTTGTGGGGCTCCTTTTCAAGGGTTCATGTAGGGGGTTACTTAAAGGGCTTTAAAAAAGGGCTTGGGCTTGGGGTTTGCGGGTCTGGGATTGAGGGTTTAGGGTTTTAGGGGTTTAGCCTACCCTTCAGAAACCAAGGCAGCTTCGATACTCACTTTTCAGTGTCATTTCCGCCTTTAGAGGTAAAGGAACATGGGACGTAGTAAGTTTATAATGGTTTTGCTGGGGTGCTAACTACCTAAATATAGTTACCTCATTTCGAACCCTAAACCCCTAAACCCTAAACCCTAAACCTCTAAATCCTAAACTTTGCCCTAAACCTTGTGAATCCGATGATCCTTTCAGTGCAACCCCTCAAGATTCCAAGGCCCCATATTACGCCTGGTAGACCCCCTACACTCTAAACTTCTAAAACCTAAACCCTCCTTAAAGGGTCATGCGACCAAGTAGGGTTGTAATTAAGGGAACGATACTACTTCCACTCAGTTACAATCCCAGTTAAGATACTTGTGACTGTACTTACCACGTACCATCGACTTCCAAGTAGAACTCTTTGAACGGAGCCCTGTAGGAAAGCCCCTTTTAACGGGAACCCTTGTAGAACCTCCATCTAACCCTGGACCTGAGATAAGCTCGAAGCCAACCACTTCCCGAACCACAGCGGTTTCAGGGTTTAGGTTCTCAAGGATTTACGGTTTTAAAATGTATCGCAGGGTCTTGGCATCTAGGGTTTAGGGATTCATGGTTTAAGGGTTTTAAGGATTTGCAGTTTAGGGGTTTTAATGGTTTTGCATTTAGGGTTCCCGAGATACAAGAAGCCTTCTATCCCGGGGTATGGCTGGAAACCGTAGTCGCCCTCCGAATGGAGCCCTTATCAATTCGAATCGGCCTTTAGGCTATGTTGTCTAGCTACGAGAGAAGCCCTCAGGAATAATGTTGATGACCGTTCCGGCGTTGACATTATCCCTGATCTTAATTCTCAAATAAGCCAGTGAAATGAAAGGTTAAGTTTGCAGATCACTACTAAGCTACAAGCGCCGTAAAGCCTAAACCCTAAACGTTTCAAGGTTGGGTATTGGAGAACTACCTAGTGGTTGAGTACCCTATCCCAAAACAGGTCAACCTTTCAATTGTAGTCGGATTGTATGAGCCCCAAAAGGTTAAAGGTACCCTAAACCGTAAACCCCTAAAGCCATAAACCCTAAACCCCTAAATCCCAAACCCCTAAACCCTCATAACCTTCAATTGCTTAAGCCACAGGCCGCTATCAGGGGGCCTTAATAATTAGAATAGGGGTTTTGGGGTGTTCCTTGAAAGGCGTCCTTAAAGGGATCTATAAGGGCTACTAATACTATAAGGGTTTGGGGTATAAGGGGCCTTAATAATTTGAATAGGGTTTTGGGGCCCATTATACTATGGTGAAAATAACCTTCTATAAACCATATATGTACCCTTAAGGGACCTTAGAAAAGTTTAAGGATCCATATTAGGGGCCCATACTTCTAACCTTGGACCTTTGCCACAGGCTCCCAACACCAAGCTTGAAGTGCGCATGTTAACACCGTAGCATCTGAACCCTACAGCCCTAAACCCAAAACCTTAAGCTACTGCAAGGGGACTGGACAGAGCATGCTATCCCGAACTATTCCTATATAAACCCTCGTAGACTCGTCAAAGCCTGCAAGCACCTTGCTACTATGATTACACTCAAAAAAGGGATTACGAGGGGAAGATTTATTCGCTCTCCAAGCTTGGCCGCCCGGCATCCGATTGAGAATTTGCTGCAACACCAATCTCGGTGCTCCTTCTCATCAAGCGGTTAAGGGGTGTCCGACAGGCCTGATATAGGGGAGGGGGAGTCTCTAAGGCCGTATAAGGGGGCTTTTGCCTAGTTTCGTGTAGGACTTTGCGGGGCGATGGCAGTATGGTTGGCGTCGTGTCAAGGGCTGCATGAAGATCCTAAACCCTACACCCGGCTTTTGTAGGGTTAAAAAGGGCTTTGCACGGGCTATATAGGGGTTTCAAGTCTAGGGTTCAGAGTTCCCAGAGACTCCAATAATATACCTTAAATCATATTAGGGATCGTACTATAAAACTAAAGTATGTTTCTTACTTAGGGGGTGTTGGAGTCTCCGGGTTTAGGGTTGAGGGTCTAGGCTTCAGAGGTTTCCTGAACCTGCCAGGTCAGTGGGTTTGCGATTGCAGAGCTTGGAGTGTCGGGGGACTTAGTAAATGGTTATTTTATAGACTTATAAGTACTATAAACCCTAATTAGGGTCCCTTTTAGGATACTTATAAGTCTGCTTATTACCCTACTTACTAAGTCTCCCGACCCTCCAAGTAGGATGATAGCCCCAGAGCCCCAGACCCTAAGCTTGTCCTGACAAAACGAAGTGGGGTTAGTGCAATGTTGCAAAATTTGCATCGGCTTGCGGCTTTAGGGTTTCGTCCGAGGAGTTTTTCGAGTGCCGGAAAGAGCGCTTGATGCTTTAGCTTCTGGGGTAGGGATATAATTGATATAGGGGCTTTTGAAATAGAATAAGGTTTTGGGGCCCATTGTACTATAAGTATAATACCGACTCCCCCCGCAAATAGTATTGGTAATTATTTTGGCCCCTATAGTATGGTCTACGGGTTCAGGGTTCAATACGGATTTAGGGTATGGGAATGTTCGCTACCCTGAACGCGAAACTTTAAAGCCTTATTGGCAGTATTTACCCAGACCACCGGTTTGATTTAGAAAGTGGATCCCTGAATTTGGAGCCTTAGACTACTACAGGGGAAATTATAGAAACCCCCATTAAGGGATCTACTCTTTAGATCCTTCCGGTGGTCTGGGTTTAGGGGCACCGATGCATCTGGCCATGGAGCCGTAGCCAAGCTAAGCACTGCATCCGAAGGTTTGCCCAAGGAGAACTACGGTTGATGACATAAATCCTGCATTGCCCATAATAAGGAAGATACCATAATTCCCATTGTGTTTGGCCTTTAGGGTAATGCAGGAATTATATCGCCAACAGTAACATATCGCGGTCTAAGAGATTAGTAACCACATGCCGCCGTGTAGTTCCTATGTAGCTATGTTATAATGTAGTCCGGAACCCCGATTATTCCTTACCGTTGTTAATATACTTGTAGTAGAGTATGTCCCCAAAACCATACTCGAAGTACTGTTAAGGTCCCTACATTACCAGACAATACAGCACTGCAGTAACATCTAAGTTTGAAACCCTGGGCCCCTAGTATGGGCCCTTAAGCCTGGGAGCCTTATATACCTACTCTATACCCTATATGTACCCTTAAGGGTCCCTAGAATCCCCTAAGGGTCCATATTAGGGGCCCATACTTCTAACCTTAGATAACATGAACTGAAAGGAGCCATGGAAAGAGCTATTGGAGTTTCAAGAAGCAGAAAACGCCTGACAAGAGCCCTACACCCTAAACCCCAACAAAAACAAGACATGATATAGGGGCCTTACGTAATTAGAACGGGGTTTGGGGTATGTTGTACTATAGTTATAATATGGAAGCCACAAAACCCTATTGAAAATCATTAAAGCCTCTACATTACCAGGCCGTGATGCCCCTTGCTGTGGTTCCTGCCCGAGGCGATATGAGAGCATTGAGAGGATCTTCGCTGGGGTGTCCAGGGGAACTTTTAGGGTAGGGTTTAGGGTTTAGGGTTTAGGGGCTTAAAGTTTAGGGGACACTAAGGGCACCCTTTTTCCTACTCGTTGGGTTTAATAAGGGGCCCCAAAAACAAAAAGGGCAAAAGGGTACTACCGGTGAACCTAGCCAGCTGTTAACTTGTTGAAGCAACCGGGACTCCTGGGAATGCACTTCCAAGCCCTAAACCCTAAACCCTAAACCCCAAACCCTAAACCCTAAAACCCTAAACCCTCAACCCCAAACCATCCAAATTCAAGTTAAAGAGCCTCTGACTGCATGGAAAACTGCCATCCTATACGGGGCCCCTTCTACCCAGACCCCTGGGAGTATCCAAAAAGTAGATCCTTGAAAGGAGCTCCAAGCACCCCATAGTAGTATGGGTTTAGGGTTTAGGGTTTAGGGTTTAGGGGTTTAGGGTTTAGGGTTTAGGGTCCCAGATTAAGGGATCTACTTTTAGGTAGGTCCTTCCGGGGCTCTGGGTCCCAGATTACTTGGCTGACTTCTGCACCCCTCCTAGAAGTTAAACTTTTAGCCTCCTTATTATAGTTCCTTCAGAAACCCAAAAAGTTAAAGTCCTAAGAGCCTACCAGAAGAACGCCAAGGATTAAGGGATCTACTCTTAGGTCTTTCTGTGTATTTGCCCTCGTCGCGTCCTTCGTCCACTCGTCGGTTGCTAACCCGCCATCGATGCAGTTGTAGTACTTGGGGCACTCTGGATGGTTGCCTGGCCACTATATGTGTGTATATATGTATGTATGTATGTATGTATGGTATGGTAGTATGTGTATGTGTATGTGTATGTGTATGTGTATGTGTATGTGTATGTGTACGTGTCTGTGTCTGTCTGTCTGTCTGTCTGTCTGTCTGTCTGTCTGTCTGTCTGTCTGTCTGTCTGTCTGTCTGTCTCTGTATGTATGTATGTATGTATGTATGTATGTATGTATATATATATATATGTATGTATGTATGTGTGTATTGGTATGAATATATATATATATATAGATGTATATGTAGATGTATATTTATATCTAGATGCATGTGCGTGTATATATACAAGAAAATGTATATGTATCAAAATTCCATATCATGGTCTGCATAATGCTATGTAGATGGTCGCCTGCCTAGCTGCGCTGATGCAGGAACCTGCTTGAAGGCCTAAATTCTAAGCGCGAAATCACCTAATCATTGGCTTTCTGTTGACTAGGACCCCCCAAAAAGCACAGCAGCAAAAAATAGGATAGGGACATCCCATATAAACCCCCTTATAATGAAGCCCAATTAGGTAGGGACATCCCTATAAAATGCTTATGCTTATGTCCTTTTTGGGCTCCTAACTGACATCTTGAACTGCTTTGTTGCGTGCTTGCAGCGGCAAACTCAAGCCAACCTTGCTTCCCAGGATGTAGAACATTTAGGGTTTAGGGTTAAGGGTTTAGGGTTGAGCACAAGTTGGGATCTGCCTAGAGGTTCTTGGCACGAGGTGCGAACCTGATGAAGAACGCTTGGTACTCAACCGCAAAAATAATCAGATCAACTGCAGTAACACCGTAATTCTCAGCCCCATGAAACCCTACCTTAACTATTGAGGCCCCTGCATGTATGGCTCAACTTGGCTGACCTCTGAACCCCTCCTAAAAGTTAAACTCTTAGCCCTACTTATTATAGTTCATATAGAAACCCTAAAAAGTTAAAGTCCTAAGAGCCAACCAGAAGAACCCTAAATTAACGTACCCCATGATTGATCTCAGTACTGGGTTGCTCTTTATTACCTTGCTAAAATTATAACTTTTAGTACCCCTAATATCAAAAAAGGCTAGTCCTAAAAGTGATAAAGCTATAAAGTGACTGTAAAGTTCAACAAAGAGTATGTCTCTGAAACCTTAGAGGGCTGCCCAAGGGCTTCGGGGGGGATCAATTATCAACGGTTTAGGGTTTACAGTGTACGGCCACTGGCTTCAAGGTTTTTGAGCTAGGCTGTAACTGCAGCACTTTCCAGAGATCTTAGCCGTCGCATCAGAGGAGACGCAAACATTCCCCAGAGACTCCAATGTCCCTTAATTAGGGAATAGACCTTCCAGGGCTCCTTTAAAGGGATCTATAAGGGTTTCTATACGGGTACTACAAGAATTCAAGAATATACTTTAAATCGTTTTAGGGATCCTACTAGAATTTAAGGTATATTCCTTAATTTAAGGGATATTGGGGATCCTACTATAATTTAAGGCATATTCCTTAATTAAGGGGTATTGGGGATCCTACTATAATTTAAGGTATATTCCTTAGTTAAGGGGTATTGGAGACCAGCTGAAACCCCAAGCCCTGAACCCTATAAACCCTAAACTCTGAACCCTAATTACGAGCCGTAAACCCTAACCCCTGAACCCTAACTACAAGCTATAACTTGCCCAGGTTGAGAGTTTGGGGTTTAAGGTTTCAAATCTAACTGCCCCAAACCCTAAGCCCCAATGTCTTAGTAATTAGAATAGGGTTTTGGGGCCCATTATACTCTAATTCTAAGAAGGAACTCCCAAAGTAGTATTGGTAATTATTTAGGCCCCGACATTACTCCCCCAGCCCTTGCCCCCCACGCCGGGCCTGAGCCACAGTACCGGCAGCTTGGCTTGCCACCGGCATTGCATCCTTTCCTTAGGAACCGTTTTATTATTTGGGGGTTCGGGGGAAATATAGGGGCTTTGATTGTTCGAATAGGGTTTTGGGGCCTTTTATACTGTAATCATGACAAGGAACCCCCCGAAATAGTCTTGGTAACTATTGAAGCACCTACATTATTAGGGTTCTGTTTCTGGGCTTTGAAGTCCCTGAGTAGAAAAGAGGTTATGAACTTTCATGTCACAATGGTTCCTTTAAGGAAAATGGTCCAAACAACCAGTTAAAGTATGGTACTCGGAATACAGCCTGGATGTATCTTTATGAGACAAACCCTAAGACTCCAATACCCCTTAATTAAGGAAGTTACCTTAACACATATTAGGGATCCTATTATAATTTAAGGTATATTCCTTAAGTAAGGGACATTGGGGTCTCTGGGAACTTGCACCAACACCATACTCCGATGCTTTCCGAGGGCTGTCTTACCTTTGTCTGTGAAGCAGCCGGGAGCAGGAATCTATTAAGACCCTAAGTCCTGTCAGCCCTAAACCCTAAGTCCCCTAAGATTTAAACCCTAAGTCCCCTAAACCCTAAACCCTAAATCCTAAGAGGCCCTAAACCCTAACCGGGCCCTAAGCCCTGAGCCCCTGAGGGCTCTGCGTCCATTGCCTGAGCTTGGCCGCTGTGCCCAGGTTCCTGGATGGAAGCAAAGAAATACTGGGCCGTCTAGGGTTTTAGGGTTTTAGGGTTGAGGGTTTAGGGTTTGGGGTTTAGGGTTTAGGGTTTTAGGGTTTAGGGGTTTAGGGTTTGGGGTTTGGGGTTTGGGGTTTAGGGTTTCGTGGATGTAAGAGGTTAACGATGCCAGGTTTTCTACTACAGGTAGCTCTCCTTTCCGCGGCTCTTACTTGTGATGTTGCTGTTGGCTGGGCACCAGTACTTGGCTGTCTTCTGCACCCCTCCTAAAAGTTAAACTTTTAGCCTCCTTATTATAGTTCATATAGAAACCCAAAAAGTTAAAGTCCTAAGAGCCAACCAGAAGAACGCCAAGAGTACCTGTTGGGGCTATATTAAAAATGATCATTTTTAATCCTTATTGGGTTTCCTTATAACAGAAATGCAAAATTGCATCCAAAAAGGACCCAGATCAGGGTCCCTTTTTGGGTCCTTATTATAATACGACACCTATTATTTAGGGTACCCCAATAGGGCCCATAATTTTGACAACCACCCAGTAGCAAAAACGAGAGCCGGAGCCAAATCGAACGCTGACCGGAAAGCTGCCCTTCGAAGAGTCCGGAACCGAAGCGGGAAGTGGTCGGTTTAGGGTTTAGGGTTTCGGGTTTATTGTTTAGGGGTTTAGGGTTTAGGGTTTAGGGTTTAGGGGTTTAGGGGTTTAGGGGTTTAGGGTTTAGAGGTTGGAAGTTCATGGGACTTCCAAAGTACAACTAAAAGGTACTTTCACCGGGGTTAGTAGTGATTGCAAGTATAGTTGCCTTATTTGACCACTTACGTCCCATGATCCTTCAAGTATAGAATCCCCAGGGCCAGGGACCCCAATATCCCGCAATTAAGGAATATAATATACCTTAAATCATATTAGGGGTCCTACTATAATTTAAGGTATATTCCTTAACTAAGGGATATTGGAGTCTCTGGGTCTAAGCCCCACCTGCAGCCCTGGCAAACAGGAAGGGACAAGTTTGAAGGATTCCTGACCCAAAACTCAAAAATCCAAAACTGCGATAGAACCAAAACAGAAGCCCTTTAAAGGAAATCTAGAAATCCCTTCTCACAGAACCCTCAAGCGAACCCATTAAGACGCCTTCTAAACCTTCGAAACCCCTATAGAAGGAAGCAGCCCCTGATTTAAAGGAAGCTACAGGTGGGGAGTGTAGGGTATATAGGGCTTCTATGAGGCTTCCATAAGGTATATAGACCTTCTATAAAACTCCTATAACGGTAACTACCCACCTGAAAATTTCCTAGACGTGAACCCTGAACCTGCCTAAACCACCGTAAAAAACCTCAAAGGAGCTCTTTAAGGCCAACCTTATAGCTCCCTTAAGCCCTAAACCCGAAGCCCCTAAACCCCGAAACACCTCCTAACCGTAAAACCCCAGAAGCACCCCTGACCTCTAACACCTTCCAGAATTTTAAGGAGCCCCTTAAACCGTAAACCCGAACCCCTAACTGCTTAGGAGGAGCTTGAAGGTTAGTGGGACTTCGTAGCTTACAGCGCTCCTTAAAGTGATCTATAGATAAGGGCTTTACATGGTTTCTATGAGGGTGCTAACGGTTTAGGGTTTTAGGGTATAAGTACCTTAATTCTTGTTATGAATAAATATGAGTACAACTACCTTATCTACAACCTCGTTACAAAGTCCCAGCATCCTTTAAGCGACTTTAAACCCTAAACCCTGAAAGGTAACCCTATGATAGAACGCTATAGTACCTTGAAAAGGAACCCCTAAACCCTAGTTACTAAGTCCCATGAGGCTTTAAGTAGAGGCAATCAATGTCGAAGCCTAAATAATTACTAATATCATTCTTCATCGCTCCTTATCATAATCATACTATAAAGGAGCCCAAAATCCTATTCTAATTATTAAGGCCCCTTATGCCCCAAACCCTTTGTATTAGCCCTTATGGAACCCCTTTTAAGGAAGCCTTTAAAGGAGCCCCCCAAACCCTATTCTGATTCTTCCAGGCCCCTACGCTAGAGGTAACCCATCTTTAAGGTATATTCCTTAATTCTCATAGCACCCTTATAGAAGCGCTTATAGATTCCTTTCAGGAGCCCTTTAAGGTCTATTCCTTAATCAAGGGATATTGGAGTCTCTGAGTAGCCCTGTGCCGACTTCTGAACCCCTCCTAAAAGTTAAACTTTTAGCCTACTTGTTATAGTTCATAGAGACCCCAAAAGTTAAAGTCCTAAGAGCCAACCAGAGGAACGCCAAGAGCCCATCCCTTAAGGTTCATACTCCAGAGCTCCCCGGAGCTGTCACAGAGGCTCCAGCCCAGAGGAGGCGCAGGAATGGTCGTAGTAGCACATGGTCCTGGGGTTCAACCCCTAAACCTTAAACCCTAAGCCCAAATCCCTAAGCCCAAAGCCCTAAACCTAAAGCCCAAAACCCGAAACTGGGGTTCTGAGGCTTCGAAGGGTTTGGGGTTCCATGGTTTAAGGATTCTAAGGGTTCAGGGTTTTGGGTTTAGGGGTTCAGGTTTAAGGGTTTGGGAAATCCAAAACCCTAAAGAGCTCTGAAAACCTCAAAGTCCCATGGCAGCGATACAAGGATACCGAAATACCACCCCTGCCAAACAACCCAAACATCCAGAAACCCACACCATACGATAGGGTTTTAGGGTTATTTAGGGTTTAGGGCCACCATAAGATGGCTAATTCATAAAACGTTTGACGTCGAGGAAGCCTACGCCTTAAACCCTGTGCCCCTTATATAGTACAGTACCCCTTGTCAAACCCTTGCAGGGAACCCTCATAGATCCGTTCATGGAGCCCTATGCCCTTTTACCTTTTGGTTCTAGTACATCCTAGAGTACTCCCTAGAGACCACCCAAAACCACACAAAGCCAAGACAAGATTCAGAGAAACCTCACATCTACTCGAAGATCCTTATTGTAGACCCCTTGATGAAACCCCATTCCCGCTGAGTGCCCAATACAATAACCCCTACCAGAAAACCCAAAACGCCGAGACTGGCCTAAAGGAACCTCTCGCACGACTGTTTCGTCTCCCATGACATTGAACTCCGACGGAAAATCCCACCAGCAACACCAACAAGCACCTAAACCTCAAACCCTAAATCCTAAACCTACAACCCTAAACCCTAAACCCTAAATCCTAAACCCTAAACCTACAACCCTAAACCTACAACCCTAAACCCTAAACCCTGAACCCTAAACCTACAACCCTAAACCCTAAACCCTGAAGCCTGAACCACAAAACTCCCCCTCCACCCCCCCTCCCCCCCAAAAAAAACAAGAAAGCCAAGACAGGCCGGAACTACAAACTGGAGCCCTGGACAGGAGACCTCGTGCTGCAGTTGGAGGATCAGAGGACGTAGGGTTTAGGTTTAGGGCTTAGGGCTTTTAGGGGGTTTTTAGGGCTTAGGGTTTTTAGGGTTTAGGGTTGAGGCTTTTTGGGGTTTAGGGTTTTTAGGGCTTTTAGGGTTTAGGGTTTTTAGGGGCATTTAGGGTTTAGGGTTTTTAGGGTTTTTAGGGTTTAGCGTTTTAGGGCTTGTAGGGTTTTTTAGGGTTGTTTAGGGTTTAGGGTTTAATAATTAGAATAGGGTTTTGGGGGCTGCTTTAAAGGCTTCCTTAAAAGGGTTCTTTCAGGGTTACCATAAAGGGTGTTTGGGGTATAAGGGACCTTAATAATTAGAATAGAGTTTTGGGGCCCATTATACTCTAGTTACAATAAGGAACCCCCAAAATAACATTGGTAATTACTCAGGCCCCCGTTTTAGTATAAGAGTTCCCTTGTGGGTTCTTTTAAGGGGCTTCAGGGTCGCGGGTTACCTTTAAGACTGTGCTGACTTCTGAACCCCTCCTAAAAGCTAAACTTTTAGCCTACTTTGGATAGTTCATATAGAAACCCAAAAAGTTCAAGTCCTAAGAGCCAACCTGAAGACCGCCAAGAAGAGGTCTTATGACCTACTTGGAGGATCGTGCCACTTGGTAACCAAGGTTTTTAAGCACTTCCTGGGTTGCTCTTTACTACCTTGCT